CCACTACTATCCATCACTACCCATCACTACACATCACTACCCATCACTACCCATCACTACCCATCACTACCCATCACTACCCATCACTACCCATCACTACCCATCACTACCCATCACTACCCATCACTACCCATCACTACCCATCACTACCCATCACTACCCATCACTACCCATCACTACCCATCACTACCCATCACTACCCATCACTACCCATCACTACCCATCACTACCCATCACTACCCATCACTACCCATCACTACCCATCACTACCCATCACTACCCATCACTACCCATCACTACCCATCACTACCCATCACTACCCATCACTACCCATCACTACCCATCACTACCCATCACTACCCATCACTACCCATCACTACCCATCACTACCCATCACTACCCATCACTACCCATCACTACCCATCACTACCCATCACTACCCATCACTACCCATCACTACCCATCACTACCCATCACTACCCATCACTACCCATCACTACCCATCACTACCCATCACTACCCATCACTACCCATCACTACCCATCACTACCCATCACTACCCATCACTACCCATCACTACCCATCACTACCCATCACTACCCATCACTACCCATCACTACCCATCACTACCCATCACTACCCATCACTACCCATCACTACCCATCACTACCCATCACTACCCATCACTACCCATCACTACCCATCACTACCCATCACTACCCATCACTACCCATCACTACCCATCACTACCCATCACTACCCATCACTATCCATCACTATCCATCACTATCCATCATTACACATCACTACCCATCACTACACATCACTACCCATCACTATCCATCACTACCCATCACTATCCATCACTACACATCACTGTCCATCACAAAACATCACTATCCATCACTTTCTATCACTACCCATCGCTACACATCACTACACATCACTACACATCACTAACCATCACTATCCATCATTACACATCACTATCCATCACTACCCATCACTATCCATTATTACCCATCACTACCCAACACTATCCATCACTACACATCACTATCCATCATTACACATCACTACCCATCACTGTCAATCACTACCCATCACTATCCATTATTACCCATCACTACCCATCACTACACATCACTATCCATCATTACACATCACTATCCATCACTATCCATCATTACCCATCACTATCCATCACTACACATCACTGTGCATCACTACACATCACTGTCCATCACTACCCATCACTATCCATGATTACACTCACTACCCATCACTATCCATCACTACACGTCACTATCCATCATTACACATCACTACCCATCCCTACCCATGACTACACATCACTACACATCACTATCCATCACTATTCATCCCTACCCATCACTACACATCACTACCCATCACTATCCATCACTACACATCACTGTCCATCACTTCCCATCACTATCCATCACTACACATCACTGTCCATCACTACCCATCACTATTCATCACTACACATCACCATCCATCATTACCCATCACTATCCATCACTACACATCACTGTCCATCACTACACATCACTAAACATCACTATCCATCACTACACATCACTGTCCATCACTACCCATCACTATTCATCACTACACATCACTGTCCATCACTACACATCACTACACATCACTATCTATCACTATCCATCACTTCCCATCACTACACATCACTTTCCATCACTATCCATCACTGCCCATCACTACACATCACATATCGCTACTCATCACTACCCATCACTATCCATCACTATACATCACTAAACATCACTGTCCATCACAACACATCACTATCCATCACTACACATCACTGTCCATCACTACACATCACTGTCCATTATTACACATCACTTTCCATCACTACACATCACTATTCATCACTACACATCACTGTCCATTACTACACATCATTATCCATCACTACACATCACTACTCATCACTACCCATCACTATCCATCACTACACATCACTAAACATCACTGTCCATCACTACCACATCACTATTCTTTTCACAGCTTGAGGAAGGGTAAAAATTGGTAGATGACCGTTCCTTTCATGTATATTGAAAAGAAGTTTATTTTTTAAATAATTCACTAGAGCAGTGAGTTAAGAACATGCTTTGATGCCGCACAAACTCTTATGAGGAGTAAACTAATCAACCGAGAACCGACCCAAATCTGTTATAGTTTTTCTTTGTCTCGCCAGTTTCTGAAGTACAAGTTTAAGGCGCTGCTATAAAGGAAAGCCATGTGAATGCAAACAATTAACGGCTTTGGTTGCTTACGCTTTCTTTGATTGGTTATCCTTCCACCTGTAATAAAAAGGTGTACGCAATCCTTATTGACTGTATAAGCTCTCCTCACATTTGAAAATAAAGCGTATAAATTTCTGCAAATAACCTTTGCAAAATAGAATTCTCGTGTTACTTGTATTAAGTACTTAATATTGGCTGTAATAATTATATGAAGTGGAAGGAACAAGAACTCATTTTTATATTGATGTTCTTGCTGCCATTGCCGTCGTCCAGAAACAAACCACAAGGGCCTTGCAGTGTTCCAATATACCCAGGTCTCCTAACCTTTTCTCTCTTATTTTATTTTTTCATGTTCTCTTTTTCGACAAAACGTGATATTAGGCAGTTTCAGCTTGTAGTCGGCAGAGAAATGTACGGAAAAGCGTGATGCACGTGAATGCCTAATTTCACGTTATGGAGGACGTTGATAAGCTACGACGAAATTTCTTTCTCTTTGTACACTTGAGTGCGGTCCCCAAGAAATCAACTCTAGGGAAATTAACCTACAGTAGACATTTTCAGCGAGTTGTAATAATAGCGACAAAGTCTGAAAACGTGCTAATTCTTT